GTGTCCCAGGCTGCCTCACCATCATGGCAGGGAGCGTTTGACAAGTCGCGGCCCCATCTGGCTTTCCAACCGAAGCGGTTCCAGGAACGTCCGCAGCATTGCCTTCGACCCTTGTCTGTGCCCCAACCATATTCCCTGTCAGAGGATGTCTTGCCTTTGTCATCAGCATCGCCGGCAGAGACCACAATACCACCCAATGGCGTACCGCCCTCCTCCATGCACTCAGCACTCGGACTGTAGTCCAAGTGATGCTTACCACCATCTATCGCGAACACATCGTGCTGTTCGTGATCTGCCACCTGATCTTCCAAACCTTGGGTGCCAAAATTGGTCTTGCCTTTGGTTCGCCTTCGCCGTTTCCTGCCTTCGCCTGTAGAAGGACTGGCAGCCACAGCCGGAACAACGCCCGCTGCAGTCTCCGACAATCCTCCACTGGCTCCTTGCAAAGATCAGCAAGCCCAGAAACCACATCCCTTTGCGCAGCCAGTTTCTCAGCGATTGTAGCAAACATGTCAAGAATTCGGCGATTCGCCGCCTTCAGGCAACCCGATTGTTCGTCCAGCAGCCGCTTTAGCATCCCCAGGTCACACTCGACCGGTCGCGCCACGCTCGTCAACCCGGGAGGGGAGGCGTGTGAACCCGGTTCCATCCTTCAGTCACACGCGAGGCGGGGCTAAGTTCAATCCTGCGAGCCTTGGCTTGAGCCAAAATGGCTTAGGGTTTAGGGTTTAGGGTTTAGGGTTTTGGGGTTTAGGGTTTTGGGGTTCAGGGTTTAGGGTTTAGGGCAGACGCCAGGCGTGAGCCTCACAGAAAAACTGCCGAAGCACAAAAGCAACTCTCTCCGTGCTCGCGGCCCTGCCTTGCAAGCCAGCTCTGACCACGCGCGCGAGCCGTGCCAGCCATGCCAGCCCTGGCAGTTTTTTCTCAGCGTTTTCTGGCTCTTGGGTTTGTCACCCTAAACCCTAAACCCTAAACCCTAAACCCCTAAACCCTAAACCCTAAACCCTAAACCCTAAACCACCCTGCTCTAAAGTGTGTTCTTGGTCTTCTTCTTGACCTCAGTCTTCCCCAGACCACCGGGAGGATCCAAAAAATAGATCCCCTAAGGGGGTTCCTATAAAGTACCCTTTAGTGGTTAGGGTCCCAAATTAGGGGATCTACTTTCTAGATCCTCCCGGCGATCTGGGTCACTGTGTCTCCGATGATTGATACTCTAAACCCTAAACCCTAAACCCTAAACTCTAAACCCTAAACCCTGATGACAAGACTCACGAGAGAAAAAACTTCTACCGGGAAGCCTCCAGCTGCACAGGCAGCCGCACGGCCATCACCATGGGAGGCTACAGGGGCCGGTTCCTTTCAAGGGATCCTTAAAGGGTTCTATAAGGGCTACAGGGGCCGGTTCCTTTCAAGGGATCCTTAAAGGGTTCTATAAGGGCTACCATAAGGGGTCTATAAGGGTTACCATAAGGGTTCTATAATGTCGGGGCCTTGATAATTATGTTTGTTGTCCCTAAGTCGCTCCCTGTTGGCGAAAGAAGCCAGCCTCAAATGCAGACGATGTCAAGACAGCTCATTACGCTCATGTCCCCGCCCTATGCGCCCTTAACCCTAAACCCTAAACCCTAAACCGAAACTCCAAGTCCAAAGCCTCTAGCGGTTCCTTGGCTAGGAAGGTTGCAAAAATCACACAAATCACAAGGCGCCTCTTGGAAGGGTGCTGGCAACAGAAGCTCTCGATGATCGACCCATGAGTTGCCCCATGCCGTCAGCATATGGGTAGTTTTCTGAATTAGGGTCCCTTTTCGGGTCCTTCTTATAAGGGTGCCGTACTATATTGGGGACCTAAAACGGCGATTTAGAGAACTGCCCTTTTTCTTTCAACCCATCTCCGAAGTTCAGGCGCGTGAAGATAAGCTGTTTGTGGAACGGGCGACAGGGTAGTTAGAAACTATACTCCATCTTCAGATGCGGATAAGCTGATATGGACTGTGGAGCCAAGTACGGTGATGTTGACAAACTAGCATCAAGGTGGTGGACGAAAGCTTCCCGCGTTCCCTTTTTGCATCAGCCGGGAGCGAATATCAGCAGCCACTGCCCAACAAACCATGCTCGAAGATCTTGCAACTTGTGATACCGCCCTTCAGCCCCTGCATCGCTCCCGTATGTCTCCCCAATCTCTGCTCCAACTGCAAGTCAAAAGCCCCATGCCCTAAACCCTAAACCCTAAACCCTAAACCGCATGAACCACACAGGGCTGCGAAATCTTGAGGCCTTGGGGGCCCTGAGCTGCGCCAAAAAGTCCTTCCAACGGCTGCTGAGGCTTCTCACTCCTTGGGTCCTTTCCGGAGGTTTAGGGTTTATAGGGGTTTAGGGTTCCTTTAAGGGTTACTATAAGGGGTACTAGAGGGTTTA